GCGCTTGGAAATTGGGGGGTTTGGAATTTGAGGCGCTTGGAAATTGGGGGATTTGGAATTTAAGGCGCTTGGAAATTGGGGAGTTTGGAAATTGGAGAGTTTCGAAATTGGAGGATTTGGAATTTGAGGCGCTTGGAAATTGGGGGATTTGGAATTTAAGGCGCTTGGAAATTGGGGAGTTTGGAAATTGGAGAGTTTCGAAATTGGAGGATTTGGAATTTGAGGCGCTTGGAAATTGGGGGATTTGGAATTTAAGGCGCTTGGAAATTGGGGAGTTTGGAAATTGGAGAGTTTCGAAATTGGAGGATTTGGAATTTGAGGCGCTTGGAAATTGGGGGATTTGGAATTTAAGGCGCTTGGAAATTGGGGAGTTTGGAAATTGGAGAGTTTCGAAATTGGAGGATTTGGAATTTGAGGCGCTTGGAAATTGGGGGATTTGGAATTTGAGGCGCTTGGAAATTGGGGGATTTGAAAATTGGAGGATTTGGAAATTAGGGGATTTGAAATTTGGGGCGCTTGGAAATTGGGGTATTTGAAAATTCCAAGACTTGGAAATTAAGGAACTTGAGAATTCCACAATTTGATAATTAGAAAACTTCCCAATTTCACATCACATAAATTTAGAAATTTGACAACTTACTTCCCAACTAAATTTCGTAACCTGAAAATTTGAAATCCAAAAATGCAGCAACCACTGTATACTTGTCATTTTCGAACTACCTAAAATTTGTCGAATTAAATCCCATTCGACACAATATTCGAACGAGTCGACATATCAAAGTCCAATATTTTGAGGCACGAGATCTCGATGAATTGATAAGTGTCAAACACAGGAACAGGTTAGAAACTGATTTGCATAATAACCGGAGGAAACGCACGGAAATTGCACTTACCGGGCAGGTTGTTTGCAAATTCCACGGCGTGGAATGAAAATTAGCTCTCGTATTTCTGAATCTGTTGCAATTCGAGGCGCGCTTGAGGCATTTGGCAACAGAATTCCCGAACGACTTCAACAGGTACGCTGCCATTTCATTTCATCCCTTGTTCGTTTTTCATACAACAGCATTTCCAGCCGATGTATCGTATACCCAAAATTATTTTCAACCGGTTGGTTAACGTATCACAGCGCATGTATAAAACTTGATACGTATCGAATGTTTCTCGTTTCTTAATTCAGCTATTCGCAGCACAGTGGGACAAAATCAATCGTATCGATCAAGGATCGATTTTCGTGATTTGGGTGAATATTTTTATCTAATATCGTGAAGTAGTTTCGATTGATATAATTTGTTTTAAACTATAATTTATTTAATTTAGGAAAAAATAAAACGTGTCAATACCTCCATCGTGAATATTGCTATCGGATAAAATATACATTATCAATAATCTATTGTCTCGTGCGAAACTACATTAATTTCATAACAGAATATTTACCGCAAATTAATTCGATAACCATTTAATTGTCACGAAACAAACATAGAACGCAAATTATCCACAATGTAGACCAGGGTTGCCCGAAAGCATAAATTATTTTTCAACACCCCATTAATCGCTCATGATATGTTTATCGTGTTTCAGTTTAATTCAGATTCGTTAATTGGATTAATAATTAGTGTCGTATTTCTTCTCTTTTAACGTGTCAATGCATGACCGCAAAATTTCGATATTAATTTTTTAACGCTTTGTTATTTTTGCATTTGGTACAACATATTAGTTTTCTTAATTTATCAGTTATTGTAGGTGTTGAATTTTCCAGATATTGGATTTTATCTTTCTAGTTTGTTAGTTTGTGAATTTTGCAATTTTCAAAGTTTACTTATAAATTTTTTAAGTAATGAATTTCTCAATTTTTTAATTTTTAGTTTGTTAAATTTGTTAGTTTCTGTATTTTTTAATTTCCTCTTTTACGTTTTCCAATTTCTAGATCTCCAAACTTCTCAATCTTCCAATATCTAAATTTCCCAATTTATGTATTTTTTAATTTCCCCTTCCACGTTTTACAATTTCTAGATCCCCCAACTTAATCTTCCACTATCTAAATTTCCCAATTTCTACATTTTTAAAATTCAAAATTTCCACTTTCTAACTGTTCCAATTTTTCAATCTCTCAATTCCTAAACATACCAATTCCTACATCCTCAAACTATTGGGTTGTCTGGAAAGTTCGTGCCGATTTTCGGTAGGCGGCATGAAATTTTATTTAGAATAATTTTTCACCAAAAAGCCTGAGACGTTCTGGAAGCACTTTTCAAATTGCATAAAAGATGGAGAAAGGTTATAGAACAGAGTGGTACCTATATAATTTAATAAATGTGTACCAAATTTAAATGAGCTGCGTTTCAATTCCCCTCAAAATCGGCACGAACTTTCCAGACAACCCAATACATCCTAAAATTCCAAAATATCCTCATAAAAAAATTCCGAAATTCCCAACCTAAAAAATTGCCCTAAAAAACTTAAAAAACCTATCCAACCTAAATTCTAATATTCGTATCTTTGATCCCTTTATCCAATTCCCCCCAAAAAACAGTTGCAGTATGCGTCAAAAAAAGATCGATGTTTTAGTCCTTGATGGCTCCTCGTCAAGGTTGCGCATTATGAAGGCGCAAAAAGGTCCTCGCGGGTTGAACTAGATTCTGAAAGAGTAAGGCAGGGAGCGATAATTCAAACACGGTTCTATTCATTCATTGTAGGAAATGATATGGCAGCCAGCAGACCAGCTGATTTATGTATTACTCTCGCAGCGTTTCACCGCCTACGATATATATACGGGTGCCCATACACGAGTTCATCATCGCACATCTACGCTATCTTTGTCGGTGACCTGTACTCGACGAGTAAATACGACGAGAGGGAAAGGCGGGCTTGAGTACCCATACGATTTTACACGGTCTACAAACGTCTATGTACTTAGCTGTCATAGAAACACGTGTCTCCACGTATGGTGTAAATTGCGCACGTATGTGGGCAAGAATAAGAAATTATATCAGTGGAAGGAAATCGGGATATTTTAGGGTCAATTTGTATTGTCGGTTTATAGACGAGATATAATTTATAATCATGTATGGATGGACAGAATTTGTAAATGGATATGTCATCTATTATTACTGCAACATAATTTGGTTAATCAAATCCGGCGTTGTAAATTCATGTTGCTCGTAGAATTTAATAGATTGTGTCACAATACCTTCCAACTATGATGTATGGACATCATATGTTTAAAATAATCATATAATTTGATATTTATTTACAGGTAATTTCTGCAAGCTGACGTATAACCTTTACGTTTTTTAATTTGCACATTCTGTCAATCACCATTAGGTTTAGTGTATAATAACTTCAGGTTAATAAAAGTATTTGCTGAAAGTTTGAATCAGATCCTAACATTACACACATGTAAAAAGTATGCAGTGCAATATACATGTACATATACATATATGCACGTGTGCACATATGTATGCGTGTTACAGGCCTTATATAAATGTACTTCGTATGCACCAGTTGTCTCTACTTAATTCATTATTTATTACTTGTATTTAATTCATTATTTATTACTTGTGTTTAATTCATTATTACTTACATTTAGTTTATCCTTTATTCATCGCATTTAGCTTATAATTTATTACTTGTATTTAATTTGTTATTAATTGTACTTCATATATTATTAATTGTTTAATTCATAATTTTCAGAGGAACAGACTATTATGGAGATGTTTGTTAATGCCATCATCTCCGCGTAACAGGGATTACATTACCAATTTTGTTGCCGCATATGCAGAGTTTACAATTAAATTAAAGCAAAATAGATTACTGACATTGTCCACTAATTAGTGTAAAATTTCATTATTAAAGCATTATCGTCGCCGTACCGATTTCCCTCGAACGTCCATTAAAAAGCGGCTGGTTGGAGAAAATAATATCCTACAATAATGTTTCTGTGAAATTCGTGTAATTGATAAAATCATTTCCACGGATGATTCTCGAACGATTTTGAGGATCACCGTGCTCAGATAATGAGTTACTATACAAATTACGTTAACAACACACCGTGTAACATGCAATTATCCTCGATCATAGTATACGAACACACATTGGCTTTCAATTGTACCGAGCTTTCTCGTCGATATACGAGCTAAATGAACAAACGAGAAATTAACAGACATCAATTACAAGGTTATTACATTAACAAATACACCCCTTTTCGTTTTCCGTCGTCATAAAAAGCTAACTCATTTTCGCGTTGAAACATCAACCCTTCTGTCTGACGTATCCCTGAAAATTTTCAAGAAATCCATGACCTTCAACAGGTACGACCTTCAATTTCTGGGTCTCAGGCTTATAATGTTCGGCAACTTCAAAGTTAGATTTACCGTTCTTGAACGAACCCTCCGTAGCGACGTGTCTCTCGTTGTATCGCCCATGATGTTTCGTATGTCCGCCATGATCGTCGTTATCATAAAAGTCATGGTTCTTGTTGTACTCGTCCTTGTGATAAACGTTACGATACCCAGTCGCTACACGATCCACTTTGTCATTACTCTTAACTTTATGAGAAGCACCATCTTCGCTTTTACCCTCTTCCGCATACTGTTTCGAGCTCCCGCCACGTGCATCCTTGACTCTCTTCTCTCCTCCACCCTCAACATGCTCCGTTTTCTTCTTCTGTGTCACATCCTCTCCTTTCTGTCCCTTCTCGACCGATACTACCTTCTCGTGCTCAGTTTTCACATTTCCCTTCTTTTTGTTTAACTTCGCCGACTGATCGTTCGACTGATCGACCGAAACCTTCGCGTCCTTCGTCTCGGCGTATTTCAGCTCCATATGATCGACACCGGGAGGTTTCACCCCTTCGTAATGAGCCGGCAACATCTCTGCATCAGGTTCTAGGGGCGGAGCCAAAATCTTGCTCGCTCGAGGCTCCTTTATGGGAATCAATTTCTTCCCCATAAAACCGAAAGCATCCTCTATCTCCTCCGTGCCGATGGCTTTTAAATCGTGAACTCCCGGATTGATTACGAACACGCTGATATCTCGTCCGCGGGTTAAATGCACGCAGACGTAGAGGATCGCGTAAATGGACCACCCTCTCCGTGAGACGCTCATTCTCGAGTCTCCAGTGTGGGTTCTCGCGATTCAGGAATTATATTCAGCTTGCATGCCGGGTAAGCGCCAGTTTCAAAGCACACTGGCTGGTTGGTTCGCTCGCACTGTAATCACGCAGCAGTCCTGCTCTTTTATACGTCACTCGGGCCGCCCAACGATTCGATTCGATTCGATCGCCGTTCGCCCACCGCTCCTCAAAGAATGTACACGTATCGCACGGCATGTGCAAGATCCGAGCAGATTCTGTCGTGACATTTCAGGTATCCGGGGATGTTTCGAGTATCTGCATATTTTGCAGGTACATTTAGCAACGTTGAGTTTCAATAACATACGTGAACTTGAAAATGTTTAAATTAAATTCAATTTGTACTTTCTTAAATTTGTAAGTTACAGATTTTTAAATTTTGACATTCAAATATTTGTTAATTGTATAGTTTTGAGATTTTTGAATTTGTACCTCAAGTCTTTAAATTCCCAAACTGTCTGATCTATGTAAACCAATGTATAAATTGGTCTATATATGTACATAGAAAGTTATTCTCGAAATCGAAACTCTTCTAAATATACCGAACGTGACCGAATCCCTCAATCTCGAGTACCCGCACCCCCAGTTACTAATAACGACTGAATTCCTCCCTCGAAGCATATACTTCGCCGAATGCAAAGCCGATTTGTCAGTCAAGAACTATCCAATCAGGCAGAGAATACCTAAATCTAGCGATCTCGATTATTGGTGGCAGCAGTTCCTTGGCATTACGCAAATGGCGACGATTCCCGAGCGCGGGCACACTGATCAGCCGTCAATAACACAACGTACTTGAATTATCGAGCTCGACCATGGAATACTCGGTTCCACTCTGCGATCCCTTATTCACCCATCGAATCACGTTCTCGTGTGTATATAAGGCAATACGGCGTTTCATGGACACACCAGTGTACGTTCAAGTTGGACATAACCACCTTCTCCAGCGGAGATTGAAACGCGTTTCGCGTTCGTTTGGCAGAAGCATGATCTCCAGAACGTTTTTAATATGTTACATTATTCTGGTTGGTCGAGACGACGCAGTACCGACGATGACCCAGACGAGATTGGCCGACCTGGCGGCTTCTGGCACCGGGTACACGTACAATCAGCAACAGGGAGTTCCGGTTTACTACGTGCAGTACACCAATCACGGAAGTGGACCGCGCTACTATACACCGGACACCGTGCACTACGTTCTCGGCGCTGCTGCACCTGTTGCGTCTGCTATTCCTGAAACGACGTCGCTACGCCGACCCTACGCGATCGTCGGGGACGCTCCGCGTTCTGTCGAGCAGACTCACCAAGAAACTGCCAATTACGGCAAAGTGCAACATTCGCCACGTGTGGTACACGTCGACGCGAAGGGTACGCGCCAAGAGGAGGACGGGGATGTCGAGGAGGATGACAGCGACGACGCTGAGAAAAATCACGAAGATAATGGTGATTCTGGTCGCGACGTTACGGTTCTATTATGGTGCTTATTCTAACTGGATCTTCTTTTGAAACTGCAGATGACGCTGGGCAGTCTGGACGTGGGCAGAAGTATGAAGGTGAGGAACACGCGACGCACGGAGAAAAGGGACGGAAAGGGTACAAGAAAAGTGAGAAACATAGTAACAGTGAGGAAGATGTGAAGGATGAGGGAGAAGAGCTAAGTAAGTTATTTATAAGGTTATTGCTACATTCACTCAATTTAACATTTGGTTCAATTAAGATTATTTATAAAGAAATTTTCCATATGATAATACATTTCATATAAGTATGTCATAGCTCCACTCTGTATGAATATTAAAAGTGTGATAAGTAAAATTATTCAATAAGTAACCATAGTTGAACAAATAATTTCCAAGCTAATTTAGAAGATATTCTTCCCTGCAACAATACCTAATTGATGATAAATCCACAGGTTACCACGACGTCAAAGATAAGAATAAGAAGAACCACGTTGATAAAGTCGAGGAGCAAGGTTCTCACGACGAAGCAGAAAAAAGTGTGGAGAGCAACGACTATGGTCACTCGTCGTTCCATAAGAAGGGTAACAAAACGAGTGGCTACCACAATGTGTACCACAAGGATGAATACAAGAAGGAGTCCGATTATTACGACGAGGATCATAAGGAAGGACATTTCGACAAGCACGAGGAATTCAACAAGGGTTTCAAGAAGATGGAGGGTGATTTTAAGGAAGATGAACATCATTCTTCAGGGAAGGATCACAAGGATCGTGGACAAAAAGGATGGTTCCAGAAGGGACATCGTGACAATGAGGATCAAGGTCATCAGGTTGAAAAGGGGGAGAAATCGTATTTCGATAATGGAGAGCATCATGATGTTGAAGAAGATTCTAAGCTTAATAAAGTACACAAATCGCGTAAAGACTCCGGCAAACAATGACACGATTCTGTGTTTGTAAACTTGTAATGTATATAATAAAATGATTTAATGATTGTATGAATTTCATAGAATTGATTTAATGTATTTAGGTATTAAATTAATTTAACGTTTTTGACGCTGAATTATTTTGAAATCGAAAGAAACTGCCAATTACGGCAAAGTGCAACATTCGCCACGTGTGGTACACGTCGACGCGAAGGGTACGCGCCAAGAGGAGGACGGGGATGTCGAGGAGGATGACAGCGACGACGCTGAGAAAAATCACGAAGATAATGGTGATTCTGGTCGCGACGTTACGGTTCTATTATGGTGCTTATTCTAACTGGATCTTCTTTTGAAACTGCAGATGACGCTGGGCAGTCTGGACGTGGGCAGAAGTATGAAGGTGAGGAACACGCGACGCACGGAGAAAAGGGACGGAAAGGGTACAAGAAAAGTGAGAAACATAGTAACAGTGAGGAAGATGTGAAGGATGAGGGAGAAGAGCTAAGTAAGTTATTTATAAGGTTATTGCTACATTCACTCAATTTAACATTTGGTTCAATTAAGATTATTTATAAAGAAATTTTCCATATGATAATACATTTCATATAAGTATGTCATAGCTCCACTCTGTATGAATATTAAAAGTGTGATAAGTAAAATTATTCAATAAGTAACCATAGTTGAACAAATAATTTCCAAGCTAATTTAGAAGATATTCTTCCCTGCAACAATACCTAATTGATGATAAATCCACAGGTTACCACGACGTCAAAGATAAGAATAAGAAGAACCACGTTGATAAAGTCGAGGAGCAAGGTTCTCACGACGAAGCAGAAAAAAGTGTGGAGAGCAACGACTATGGTCACTCGTCGTTCCATAAGAAGGGTAACAAAACGAGTGGCTACCACAATGTGTACCACAAGGATGAATACAAGAAGGAGTCCGATTATTACGACGAGGATCATAAGGAAGGACATTTCGACAAGCACGAGGAATTCAACAAGGGTTTCAAGAAGATGGAGGGTGATTTTAAGGAAGATGAACATCATTCTTCAGGGAAGGATCACAAGGATCGTGGACAAAAAGGATGGTTCCAGAAGGGACATCGTGACAATGAGGATCAAGGTCATCAGGTTGAAAAGGGGGAGAAATCGTATTTCGATAATGGAGAGCATCATGATGTTGAAGAAGATTCTAAGCTTAATAAAGTACACAAATCGCGTAAAGACTCCGGCAAACAATGACACGATTCTGTGTTTGTAAACTTGTAATGTATATAATAAAATGATTTAATGATTGTATGAATTTCATAGAATTGATTTAATGTATTTAGGTATTAAATTAATTTAACGTTTTTGACGCTGAATTATTTTGAAATCGATTGCTTAATAAAATTAGGTAACTAATGCACAATAGAAAGTGTTATTGACCCAGTTTTTTGCGCAAACCAATGTGCAATGTGCATAAAACCTGAGGTCGTTGAACTGTTGCAAAAATCATCACCGATTGAAAAGTTATTGATTCGTCAAACACCACGAAGCTGTTGCCAATAAACGTTTTGTAATCACCGTCACGTTTTTATTTGTATGTCGAATAAGTGAAATCGTCGAAACGCTCGTTACGATGATGTAAATTAGTACCTGAATTTAAGTACCGAAGTATTAATAGTACTTATCAAGTTATAATTGTTAGTCCGTAGAGATCGAAGTATAGCTACAATAACGAGCTGTTTCAAATTATGCACACTACACTCGACAAATAACAAGGTACGAGTACTAAAAAAGTCGAGTAATAGGAATTACGATTGATTAAATTAAACAATGCAGTGTCGTTTAATAAATTACGATTAGCTCTTAATTCTACGTATATTACAACGAGATTGTAAAAGATAGAAACGTTTATTTCGACCAACTGGTATCGATCTGAGAATACATTTATTTCATCCAGATACAAAGATCAACACAACACGATGCTCAACAAACATAACAATAAAAGATGCTTAATGACCCTTCTTAAAGCCCCACGATTTGTGGTCATCGTGTCCTCCTTTCTTGCCATGGTGAGAATGATGATGATGATGCTCGTCGTGTCCACCCTCGCTCTTGTGGCCCTTGTGATCGTGATGATGATGTCCTTTCTCATGGTGTCCCTTTTTACCGTAATGATCCTCGTGACCTCCGTGATGATGATGTCCTTTCTTGAAGTGTCCACCCTTCTTGTGCTCGTGTTCGTGGTGATGTCCACCGTGGTCCTCGTGGTGTCCGGAGTCATGGTGTTCGTCGAAGAACTCCTTGTCCTTCTTGAACTCGTCTAACTTGTGAACCTCGTGATGACCCTTGGTCTTGTGTCCTTTGCCATAGTGACCCTCCTCGTGGAACTTGTGACCCTTCTCCCCTTTCTCACCCTTGTGGTGCTCACCGTAATAACCATCGTCGTGATGATGGCTCTTCTTGTGTCCATCCTCTTCGTCGTAATGGCCCTTGTGCTCGTCCTTGTCGTGGTGTCCTTTGTCACCTTTCTCGTGATGGTGCGACGATTTGTAGCCTTTCTCGCCGTGATCACCGTGCTTGTGATGGTGGTCCGAGTGGTGCTCCTCTCCACCTCCGTGCTCGTGATGTTCGTGATGATGGGAAGCAGCCACGGCTAGATCATCGTAATCCTGGCCGATCTCGCGGGCGTCGATCAAGCACTGACAGGCTAAGCACACGAGCAGCAGACAAATCGCTGGTCGAGACTTCATGGTGGGGCGATGGGAATTGATCAGGCGGTATCGATACGTTCGACTCCGCCGCTGCTTTCGGTATGATTAATCCGATCACCTGGACCGGGTTATATATTCGAACGGGGAATAATCGATATTAGGAAGCAACGACACGGGTCTTGCTACTTACACCGTTGCGAAAGTAACGTCTCCTTAACCCCTTTAGCTTGCAATTTGCCGATTTCAGTGGATACACTCGACTTACAAATTGTTATGTAATACGATAGATATCGCTGATGGTTGTCGAAACTTTACGGGACTATGATGGACTATTGCACCCGGAAGGACGTGCGAACAGTATCATAGCACCTGATGGACCATCGTCTTCTCAGAGTCATAATTTAGCACTTTGGAAATTACTATCATCTTAAATTTTTTAAACTCTCAGATTCTGAAATTTGCAAACTAGATCAAATTGCAATTTAGTCCTGCATTTCTAAGTTTCCAGACTTCTAAATTTTCAAGTTCTCAAGTCTGATAACATCCACATGATCAAATTTCCAAATCCCCAATTCCAATTCATCAAATTTCCAAGTTCCCTAATTTCAATATTATTGAACTTCTGTCTTCCAGTTTCTCAATCATCAACTTTTCAAGTCTGTCAACTTCCAAATTTCCAAATCCTTTAATTCCCAAATTCCCAAATTTAGAAGTACAATTCCAAATTTCCGTAGGTCCAAATTTTTTAATCGCCAAAACTTTCATTTTGAAAATTTGAAATCACTGACATCTTATTTCGAGTTTCATACTCTCAACCATCTAAATTTCCAAATAATCAAATTCTAAACTCTGAAACTTCGAAACCTCCATGAATCTTTATTACGTCATTTCTACCCCGCACACCCCACCGCCTGTAAGTTCTTGGACGTGCACTTGATTTGCCCGTCACTGGTAAACGACGAAACGCTTTTCTTTCTCTCCTCTTTCACTGCATTATCGTTCACCGTAACGATGACTCAATTACTATTTTTGCGGACTTGGAACAGGATCCATGAATCAGCTCTGTTATCACAGAGATGAAATTGTTTCTACACTTTTTTGTTTCGTATCAGTTGGAATATATTTGCGATAGTGTTCTTCCTTATAACAGGGGTTTATCATCGGATGATTATCGGAGAAAATGGTGCAGTTACGTTTATTGGCAAGAATGTACTTTCATTGTTAGTCGACCGCAAAACGGATCGTACTGCCGTGCACCTTTTATGGAATATCTCGATACGGTTGATCACCCCGTCTCCGATGCAATCACACACTATAAAATCATGACTAATTTCACCAGAATGCGTCCAAAACATTCTGAAAATCTACAGAAATACAAAATCGATAAAACTCAAATCGAACGAAAGAAGCGATTGCATCATTCCGCAAAGAAATATATTCATATTACGCCGCTGTTTTATAATATTCCCTATTTAATTATCGGTCAGATACAAAATTGATCGATAAGTTCTTGCCGATCGGCAAATTGCCGGTGGTTTCGTTTCTTACGAACCGCGTTAATTCGCAGTGTGATTAATCTTTTTGCACGCAGCTATTCGGGAAAGCAGATACCTGCGTGGATTTGTTCCAGCGATGGGCATTTGACGTGCCTAATTTCTACTTTATGCAAAACAGCGCTCGATATGGGCTACGAGCTGGTGACGTTTACGAAATAAGAATCCCGTGTAGTACCAGCGAGCAGCTGCGAAGGAACGAAAGCGATTACGTATAAAACGCTAGGTATCACGGCAGGTATATAAGCTTTGCTTTAAAGCGACCCGATCAGTCGTTAGCACTCGTTGGTCAACAAAGTACCAACATGGCGAAAAGCTTGTATCTGTGGTTTGGCCTGGCGGTGGTTTGCGCATGGCTCTCCCTGTCCACGGCTAGGGAGATAGGGGAAATGGACCTGGCGGTGGCGGCTACTCATCATCACGGCCACCATCACGAGGAAGGAGGTGGCCACGATCACCATAGCCACCACGAGGACGACCACGGCGAGAAAGGCGAGAAGGGCTACAAACACCATCATCACCACGACAAAGGTGACCACGGTCATTACGGAAAGGAGCACGACGAGGGTCATCACGAGGAACACGGTGGCCACAAGAAGGGCCACCATGACGAGCACGAGGAGCACGGCCACCACCACGAACACGAGAAGGGCCACAAGGGCGAGAAGCACGGCCACAAGAAGGGCCACAAGAAGGGCGAGAAGACCCATGGTTACCACCACAAAGCACACAAGGACGAATTCCATAAGGAACACAAGTTCTACGACGACTACCACAAAGGTGGACATCACGAGAAACACGGCAGCCATCATGGACACCATGAGAGCAAGGACGGACATCACAAGAAGGGCGGTCATCATCATTCCGGTCATCACCATGATCATCACGGAAAGAAGGGGCACTTCGACAAGGGACACTATGACGAAGATCACAAGGGCTATCACGGGAAACACGGACACGACGACCATCACTCGCACTATGAGGATTATGGGAAGAAGGGAGAGCACCATGAAGGAAAGAAACATGGTTATTCGAGCGGAGGTGGCGGTGGCGGTGGCGGTGGTGGCGGCCATGGCGGCCATCATCATCACTGAACGATGTAACTGATGCAACCGAGTTGACACTGTTACGCTACTTGTTGGTTTTTTATTCCGTCGTTGATTAATTTTAGACGCCGTCCTGAGATCTGTTGCGTTTCTGTTTTAATAATAAAACTGTCCCGTAACCATTAATGATCATTTCTTTCAATCAAACCTCTCTTTTTCTTGGTGATCGAAATTTCCTTACTCTGCATTTTATTTACTAAAAGACCTTGTCGTTAAAAAGATGCTACATTTTTAACAACTCTAAATATATTCTAAAAAATATAACTTCCACATGAAAAATACATAGTAACATTCTTATATTATAAATGTTATTAAGAAACGGTCAAAGAACTTTTGCACAACGAGGTCTCCGAGTTTTAAACGATTCAAAGTGAAGCGGCAACCCTTCAATTATCCCGAACTTCATTCGTTAAAACGTAAACGTTCATCCAACGTTGAATGACGTATTCTACGCTCGATAGAAACTAAGAAAAATACAGTACGATTCGAAGTAACGAGTCGCGAATCAATATACTTTTCCAGTTAACGGTTTGGGCCAACTTTAGATACTTGTTTCTAGCTTAAGAATCAGATCTCGGTCAATATATATTTTTAGCGGAGCATAAATTAAGACTGACAATGAGTATAACCGTCACATGTCTGTCCTACGAAATTAGTTTCAAAAATATTGGTGACAGTGATGTAAATATGGGCTTTCCATGAAGTTTGGGACGAACACGAGAAGGGCCACAAGGGCGAGAAGCACGGCCACAAGAAGGGCCACAAGAAGGGCGAGAAGACCCATGGTTACCACCACAAAGCACACAAGGACGAATTCCATAAGGAACACAAGTTCTACGACGACTACCACAAAGGTGGACATCACGAGAAACACGGCAGCCATCATGGACACCATGAGAGCAAGGACGGACATCACAAGAAGGGCGGTCATCATCATTCCGGTCATCACCATGATCATCACGGAAAGAAGGGGCACTTCGACAAGGGACACTATGACGAAGATCACAAGGGCTATCACGGGAAACACGGACACGACGACCATCACTCGCACTATGAGGATTATGGGAAGAAGGGAGAGCACCATGAAGGAAAGAAACATGGTTATTCGAGCGGAGGTGGCGGTGGCGGTGGCGGTGGTGGCGGCCATGGCGGCCATCATCATCACTGAACGATGTAACTGATGCAACCGAGTTGACACTGTTACGCTACTTGTTGGTTTTTTATTCCGTCGTTGATTAATTTTAGACGCCGTCCTGAGATCTGTTGCGTTTCTGTTTTAATAATAAAACTGTCCCGTAACCATTAATGATCATTTCTTTCAATCAAACCTCTCTTTTTCTTGGTGATCGAAATTTCCTTACTCTGCATTTTATTTACTAAAAGACCTTGTCGTTAAAAAGATGCTACATTTTTAACAACTCTAAATATATTCTAAAAAATATAACTTCCACATGAAAAATACATAGTAACATTCTTATATTATAAATGTTATTAAGAAACGGTCAAAGAACTTTTGCACAACGAGGTCTCCGAGTTTTAAACGATTCAAAGTGAAGCGGCAACCCTTCAATTATCCCGAACTTCATTCGTTAAAACGTAAACGTTCATCCAACGTTGAATGACGTATTCTACGCTCGATAGAAACTAAGAAAAATACAGTACGATTCGAAGTAACGAGTCGCGAATCAATATACTTTTCCAGTTAACGGTTTGGGCCAACTTTAGATACTTGTTTCTAGCTTAAGAATCAGATCTCGGTCAATATATATTTTTAGCGGAGCATAAATTAAGACTGACAATGAGTATAACCGTCACATGTCTGTCCTACGAAATTAGTTTCAAAAATATTGGTGACAGTGATGTAAATATGGGCTTTCCATGAAGTTTGGGAAAAATAGCAACTGTAATTTGGATGCAAATAGTAACGGAGAGACTGATATAATCATACTGTATCATATGTTACATAGGTGATGAACATAGGTAAATTTTTTTTTATTTATAGTAAAGTATCAGACGAAGATGAATTAAGGAAAAACGTTCTTAAAAAAGTCCATTACTTTCTATGTTTCATAGAATAAATATTACTGACCAATACTTACAAGTCATATTGAGTACAAAAGTATAATTATAATTGTCACTTGATATACGTATATGTAATTATTTTTCGTTTTACTATCATTAAAAGTAAAAATTCGGACAAACGAAATGCGACACAGATTGATATTTATTGGAACATTAATGGAATCTCGGTGTTCATACAGTGGAATCATTTTCAAAGCTGGAATTCAATGAAATATTGAATCAGCCGATAATATCGCAGCTTTCATCTCATTATATTCTACATGAATTATTATTACACCTTTCAGTACGTGGTCAATTTCACGTATACCATGACGACAAATCATATTACTTTTCCGCCTATAAATTCCTTTGATTGTTAATAAATCTTCGCGTTCCATATATCCATCAACTACCACCATCGATCACATCGATGAACAAAATGTGTACCCTGGGTAATATCGTTCGATACCGACGTTGATTTTCGGTTCATGGAACTTTTGCATTACAACAAAATGCTCAGATATCTTCGAATTTTCTAACACGAATTATAAAACCAAACTAATTTACATTCTTGGTTTTCATTCGAATAAACTTCAGGTCCTTTTAAGTTCATGTCGATGAAACACTTGATCAAAATACTTGAAGACGGCAAATAATTTGTGACTTCAAACCATTTTATTTTAAACAAAATTTTATTTCTGTCGCTAACAAATCCCAACTCAGATTCTTCACAATTTACTGTTTGAACCATTTGAACAAGTCAATCTTGTATCAAGATTGAAACAAGTAATCTGTCGCAGACCTGCAAATATTTTCCTTCCACCCCAAATTCGAGATAAAAAATTATTTAAAGTAATGCTTAAGTGTGCTTGCAACCCTCAGTTTGCAAAGTAATAACTCTTCTGATTTAATAGGTAACGAAAACTGTTGAAAATGAAGAATTTTGAGGACAAGTGTAAATGTAACCAGTAGGTGAAACTTTCGAGTGTAACTGTATCTCTCACCCTTTTTCCCATTTTCTTCTCACACTCGCGGTATTCTCGCTTAATCACGCGATTCTATGTGTACAATCACGTACGTACACACAGAGGTAAAAAGAGAAAACACAGAGAGCGGCTGTACGAGAACAGTCTAGGTAGCATCTAGCGCATTCGCCGTGGCACGGGTTTGATTAACGATTCCAGCCAGTGCGAATGAAATTGCCGTGGCCATTTGTGGGTCTATCTAGACTGGATTCCGGTGCACCGGACACGGATTAACGGAGCTTTATACGCTTCTTTCAGGGCTTGCCCGGGATGCTCGGCCAGTCAGCCCCAGCTTGATCGAGCTAGCCCGTTCTCGGCCGGAGATTGCATACAACCAAGCCGAGCGGTTCTACTTGAAATTCTCTGGCGTGTGACAATTTCGCCGCGATACCGTACCTACGTCCCAGAAACACCCTGGCCATTGTTTCATACCGCGATGCGAGCACGTGTGGCTGGCTTAATTAATCTAATTGGAGTGGTCGCGCAACTTGCAAAAGAAAAGAAGGAACATCTATGCCCCGGGCGGACATCATACGCGAGCACCGTCGAGTGTTAAAGGGGCCAGAAGCTCGCTTTCGATCGATCGCCTCGCGATACTCGATATGCGCGGCATTGTGTCGAATATTTAATTAGCGGTGTTTAGTTACTCTCTTTTGTATTTGCTATTCGTTTAATTGGCGGATTTGGGACGACGATTGGAGTGATGATTTTTTATAGATTTGAGAGTTTTGGAATTTGGGAATTAGGGGATTTAACCCTTTGCACTCGAAGATAATTTTATTGTTTGCAAACAGAAACTTTAAAATATTAATTAAAATATTAAATGAGTTCTTTTAGGGTTATTATTTCTCTACTAATAATTTCCACTATTGTCCATTTCAGTGTGTTTATATAATACATCACATGAGCACTATTATAGAATTAATTAAATAATGCTTATTTCAAATTATTGTATTAAATCGAATAGTGCCTGAGAGGCGCCTCTTGAGCGTAAAGGGTTAAGAATGCGGGAACTTGAGAATATGGGACCTTGAAAATATGGGAACTTGAAAATGTGGGAACCTGAGAATATGGAAATTTGAGAATGTGTGAACTTGAGAATGTGGGAACTTGAGAATGTGGGAACTTGAGAATGTGGGAACTTGAGAATGTGGGAACTTGAGAATGTGGGAACTTGAGAATGTGGGAACTTGAGAATGTGGGAACTTGAGAATGTGGGAACTTGAGAATGTGGGAACTTGAGAATGTGGGAACTTGAGAATGTGGGAACTTGAGATTGTGGGAACTTGAGAATATGGAAACTTGAGAATGTGGAAACTTGAGACTGTGGGAACTTGAGAATGTGGAAACTTGAGAATGTAGGAACTTGAGAATGTAGGAACTTGAGAATGTAGGACCTTGACAATATGGAAATGTGAGAATGTGGGAACTTGAGAATATGGGAACTTGAGAATGTGGGAACTTGAGAATGTGGAAACTTGAGAATGTAGGAACTTGAGAATGTAGGACCTTGACAATATGGAAATGTGAGAATGTGGGAACTTGAGAATATGAGAACTTGAGAATATTCCAACTTGAGCATATGTGAACTTGAGAATGTACCGATTCGAAAATTTATTCCCCATCCCACATTTCCCCCAATACTCCCCCCGTCCCCCCAATCCCATCACAATTTCCCTCTATCCCTTTAATTTCAACTACTTCCAACTCCATCCAAGTCATTCAAGATTATCCACCCTAACATCCACCCCTAACAGTCCACATCTTGTCAAATTATCTGTCCAGTTACACCTACGTACACCCATGTAGTGTACCATGATCAAATTACAAGTATTTCTTTCCACAATCCGGAATCGTGGTAAAGTTTTTTGCGGGCGAGCCGGAAACAGGAGAAGTGGAGTGGACTTCTTCGTCGAGCAAATTCGATCGGTCTCGATTAAAGACTTTCTTTTCCATTTAACCAACTGCACCGGGTACACCCGATTGATCAGCGGTACATCGGCAATTAATCTTTTTCTTCGAGCTACTAGAAGACGTTGCTGTTTCGAAATTGCTACATTTAATTTCTACGATTCGAAGTAGACTCGTTTCTCCTTTGTTTTAAACTGTTTGCACATTGTTACTTTAATTTTCATTCATGGAATAATAGTTTTATGCAGAGTTTATGTGATTATATTTTGTATGTTGAAAGTATTTCAATGTGGATATTAATGATTTAGGGAGGATTTGAAAATAAATTGATTTTGTGAGAACTTGTTTATTGATGAGACTGAAATATTGTTGCTGTCGATAGTAAAATATTGAAGGTCCTAAAATATGAACAATGCATGTTCATCAGTTAGGATTCTTGTAATACTTGAAACTACAAAGAGAGCATTAACATGAATAGCATGTCGGGCAACCTAACCTAAAAATCAGAACTACTTAAAAGACATCAACCTTGAATAAAAACTTCAATTTGAATAAAAATGTCACCATAGAAGAATAACTAAGTTAAATATATTTGTGTCATTAATTTAACAATAAAAATATAATGTGAAGCCTACAATTGAGTAATGGAACTAATTTAAATAAACTTTGATTGAGTACCATCATACTTAAGAAATGAACCCTCGGTATCAAGAGTATTAGTAGTCCGTGTAAGTAAATTGAGTTGGATAAATCGTCATGGCCAGTTGAGCAAGCACCGCGGGAAGTGGTACCAAAAAGTTAAATGAATTTTATTTTTCTATTTGACACGTAGCCCGCGACGATTCGTTCGCGTAGAAGTAACAACTACGGAACAACTTTCTCGTCTAATTTATAAAAGCGTAGTTAACGCGGAAACATTCTGTCCAAACCCGGAACGGAATTATCTCGGTGCAGTTCCGCTCGATTTCAGTCGTTCAGTTAGCCCTCATTTATCATCGCGTTACTTTTTCGTCGTGAAAGTTGCGCAAATTAAATCGAGCCGTGAAATGCGTGAAACATTTCCACGAACATTTCGCCTATTCACCCCAATTAATCTGAAATAACACGGTGTACATTGTCGGACAATTAATCGTAATTTTCGTAAGCATCATTCATGTTCTAGTACTTTTTGATTAACTTCAGAGTGTATCGTAAAATGTTTAATATTTAAATTGGAGTACGTTTGATCGCTTGTTATCAGGATGTAATGTGTGCAGGAATTTATTAAATTAGATAATCAACAGATTGCGCTTTCAGAAGACCGATCAATCTTCTTCATTACACGCTAATTACAATTCAGTTTTCCATAATGGAGGAAGTTATACAGTTGCGGACGAATTCTGTCATGTTTTTGTGTGATGTACTATAATGAGTCCACGTTAAAATTCTGCTGTGTTTGTTGCATTAACGTTCTTTAATTAACCGAGTAACATGATCTCTTTGTTCCTAGTATACTCTGGTTACTAATATTCGCTTCAGGGCTTTTAGTGTTTCAAAACGCTAGAATTTTCAAAATCCCGAATTCTATGTAGGACTTTGAATTTTTTCATTTAAAAATTTTTGTATTAAAAAATTTTTTTGATACCCTGTATAATTTTTGAGACTTGTTGAATTTTGAAGCTTTGGGATTTTCAAGAGAATGCAATGTAGTGAATTGTTCAAATATGGTTTATTAGTTCCATGGACATAGTATTTCGAGGAATAACTCGCAAGGTTCGGTTTTAATGAAATCGTGTCGCGAACGAAGCAGCTAAATAGAGTTTATAACGGGCAAGCGAATAGAGGAGGGTGAATTTAGTATGCGAGTCGAGGGCAGTGGGAAGCGTTTAAATTAACGGGAACGTGTAAATTCTGACTGTGACACGAACGAAAAGATGCCACGAGAATACGAAAATCTAGTTCACGATCTTTTTGTGCTTCGATATTAATGTTCTGGTGTGGAAAAAATTTCAAAGCAATCAGAAAGCTGTCAACTTTTTTATGTCAATACCAGAGATCGACCTCTATTATAAACGTACGCAAGATGAAGCAACAAATGTATTTATAAATGAATTTTATTTATCTTAAATCGAAGAATAATACAAAAATTGAATCTGCCATCTGTTTTACTGTTAAATTTTCTTGCTGATATTTTGACTGATGTTCAATTTTCTTGAAAATCAAGACTGATATGCGAGTAAAATTTTGTATTCTACGTAGAATTCTTTTCACGCAGAATCAACCCCGTTTGCACCAGTTGCATGACTATGTTTTTAACCCAAAAAAGTCACTTCAATCTTCCTGTGTGAAAAATCTTAACTTGAATGTAATCTAAGTCGAAATCAACTTAAGCCAATTGACAAATCAAAAGACAAATACAATAACTCTAAATATCACATCTGCTTGATATCACATCTTGAAACTGAAGTCAATTACGTTTAGGACAAACGAAGTACAAACAGAAGAGCTCGGTTTAATTACGAAGGAACAATTTTCCGGGGTATCAAGCGTTCGTATAAATTGTCCGGATTACTCGCGAACGAACGATCATGTTCGATTCCCATCGAAGCTGGTACACGTGAAATTTTTGTTTTCTTTCACGATTGCTCGTTCGATTTCCCGTTGAACACGTTGTTTCTCGTTCCCGTTATTACATAGACGTTTGCCGCGCGAGCATGACGGTGTGCAAATGCTAGCACGTATTTTCGTCGTGCTGCCAGGTGTAAATAAAGCTTTCGGAGAGTGCGGGATTACATAGAGACAGACTGGCGGATAGGTAAATAGAAAGAAACGCGATGGAAACGCTCGTGCAAACAGCGACGCTATTAATGCGAACGTGGATCAAGCAGAATGAGGTTCATATAACGGGCGCGAAAGAAATTTATACGACAGTGACGTTAATGCTGTATAAAGTGCATCGATGAACTACTCTTCTGCTATGACTCTTCGTTTCTTATTCGTAATTGTTATGCAACTCATTCTTCACGTATCAAACTTTTTATATTTACATATTTAATAATCTGTTACATTTATGATAGCCACAGATTTTAGGTTCTACAAAATTTATTATAATTACAGGTTTGAAGATCTATTTAATTTTTTACAATTGTAGATTTCAGGAGCTGTTACATTTGTTATAGTCATAGAGTTGAGGATGTAAATTCGTTATGATTATAGTCTTGAAAATCTAAATGTATTGTAATTACAGATTTAAGGATGGTTTAAGGACAGCATCTTTGCGGCAATATAACGAGAGTATAACGTAAATTGAAAATAATAAACAAAGAGGTCAAAAATCTTTGTTCTTGAGAAAAGTCATTTTCCTACACTTTATATTTAATTGTAATTTATAAGCGATGTGAACATTGTTAGATATAATCCTTTATCTGCATCGTTCTTCAAATGAAGGTATTTTGAAATATAGGAAAATTTAGATTAAAAATGCAACATTTTATGAAGCTCGCTCCATCACTCCAGCGATGTAAACGATAAGCTTAAATTTCAAACAGTATTATCGATCATCGTTGCACTAGCAAATAGACGATGTTCGTTTACTATACGAGGTTCTAGGAACTCGGCGAGACCCGTAACGGGTTTTTTCGGCGCATTAATCCGGTAAACGATGAAAATTTCATCGGAATTCCGATCCGTCCTGTTTTGATTAATGGCGATACGTTATGGGGTAAATATCAGGCAAGGAGAAACTTATTCCCTCCACCGAGAGGGTAAAAGAAAGGAGAACAAAAATGAGACAGCGTACTTTTGGTCTGGCAACAACGTCCTGCTCGTGTATTTACATAATGTATTTACACAATACCGGCCACGATACATCGCCCCGCGATACATTATATTGCCGTCACTTTGGAAAAACTTAAGACTGACAGCTGTGAAATATTCGAGGTATTAAACGCGAGTTGTGCAAATACTGTTCTGCTTTTATGAGACTAAAGCGTAATTCCGTAAAATACGTTGCAAAAGTAGACGAGGGGATGAATCGGGTCTTCTTTCGAAGAACAAACTGTTCTAAATTAAAATTGCTAGTTTAATACAAATATTTACTTCAGCTTTATTTACAAACGTAACAACATTTCTATCGATAATAAATAAATAACGATTTACAACATCGAAGCGTAAAAATACACCATTTCAGTGTAAGTAGAAAGTCCAAGGTTTCCTAACCCTTGTGACCTTTACTGTATCCATATTTCTTTCCAGCATGTTGATCACCCTTTTTCCCATGAGCGTCGTGATGACTATAATGTTCATCGTGTCCGTGTTTCCCATGATGACCCTTGTGCTCCTCGTCCACGTGACCCTTATCATGATGTCCTTTCTTGCCATGGTGATCCTCGTGATAACCGGAGTGGTGATGACCTCCCTTCTTGTGCTCTCCTTCCTTCTTCTCATGATGTCCATGGAAATCTCCATGCTTCTTGTGATGTCCTCCTTTATGGTAATCGTCGTAGAACTTGTGCTCCTTGTGGTACTCGTCCTTGTGGAATTTGTTGTGGTAGCCTTTGGTCTTGTGACCTTTCTTGTGACCCTTCTTCTCGCCGAACTTGCCACCCTTGTGACCTTTCTCGCCCTCGTGGTGTTCGCCGTATTTCTCGTGCTCGTCGTGGTGTTTCTTTTTATGGCCACCGTGTTCCTCGTGGTGGCCGGCCTTATGTTGCTTATCATGCTCGCCCTTGTCGTGCTTATCGTGATGATGATGGCTCTTGTAGCCCTTCTCACCCTCTTCGCCGTGTTCCTCGTGATGATCCGAGTGGTGAGATTGACCTCCAGCAGACTCGTGATGGTGACCTTGGTGTCCAGTAGCGGCGCTCACAAGGTCGCCCTTGTCGTCCTCGCTCGTGCTGGGAAACGTCACCGACAGCACCGTCTGGGAGCCGTCGTTATCTTCTCGAGCGTCCCGACGGGCACGAGGACCGTGCAATTCTCGGGTACAACATGTCTGAAGCAGCAGTGCGACGACGATGGCAGAAAAAACGACGCGCAGCATCTCGAGCCGGCTTCGATCATGCGACTGACGACCACGTCGTCAGGGTTTGACACTTAAATATCCATGGTTCGATCGGTTTATCACGGGGCATCCTATTCTTCCTGCCGGTTTCACTTTCATCCGCTCGACCGCAAACCTTCATCTACGCCGGACCTGCTTTCACACTTTCTTGACTCTGGACTGTTCTCGACGAAAAACGGGAATCGTTGAACTGTGGAATGTGACGCAAGATCGACAAACGTTTTTCCCGTGTCACTTGTATAACGACGGAAAATGTTAGCTAACGGTGCAGTTTTTGTAAGATGCTGAAAAACAAACAGCAGTTACTAAACTTCAACCGACCAGGATTAAGACTCAAGTTTGCAAAGAAGTTTAGTTTAATTAATTGGACACGTGCATTCGTCACACGGATTCGTTCCGCCGACTGACATGTATCGCGTTGTTTGCAGTGTGAGAAATTTCATGGACTTGCTATCGGTTGCCAACTGTTCGCGTGTTGGTCTCGCCTTTACTGACAACTTTATTACCGCGCTTTGTGAAATATCTTCAGATTCGACGTCTTAAAGATATTAGCTTTAAACCGTCTGAGCATCTCAACGGCTAACACGGGCACAAGAATTCCTGGAGCTCACAGAATCTCGCCAAGTATCGTTAAATCGATTGATGAAGCGGCTGCTCGAACACACGAAATTTTGTTGGAGTTCATCAAGCTCATTGAGTCCAATAGTTTCCGAGTTCTCGAGTTAGCGTCTGGTTAGAACGTAGCAAAAAGCGGAATGTTTCTTTCGAAAGGAATTAGATTAGAGTCTTAAGTTCTTCTGATGCCTGGTTTTATATGTCGCCGTCTCCTTTTTATATTGCCTGCTTCCCCTTCACACGGACTTTCACGCACGCTGGTGGCGCTCAAACGAAATCTATGAAAAAATTTAAAAATTAACCTATTTAGAAATTTCAAGAACTTGCATATTCAGAAGTGCAAATTTAAAAATTAAGTTGTATGTAAAAGTGTTTGTATGTGGCTCTTTGCACAATTGCTCCGTGGAGGGCCATAAAGCGAACTCCCTTAACAACGCTATCTCTGCTTGCGAATATAACGCAAAAAATGCGGGACAAAATTTTACAAACATTTTTTATGAAACATTAAATACTCAGTTTAACTTCAGAAAGAATAATAAATGTTAAATAAATCACAAATTCCGAAAGGAATAAAATGCATTCAATTTCTTAATCGAATCAATTAATCAGCAATCCGGACAAATGTATTTCAGTGGTCATTAAAATTCGCGTCAGATGTGGTTGTATAACCGGGCAGCAGCTTCCTGTCCGCTCGATACAAAGCCGAGTTTTCTTTCCGGCTACTTATTCCGCGGCGCGCATCGTCCTCCAACCAGCTTGAAGTTGATCTCCATTGCAAATCAGGAGAGCCGAATTCGCAGTTTGAAACGGTGATCGATAGATTCAGCCTCTTTACGACCTTATTTGGCAGGCAGTTCGGCTAGAGATTGGCTCCTTCGGCGTTGGCGCTGCATAATCAAGATAAAGATTGGTTACTACCCGGTTTCTCTATCGAGCTCTCCTTTAGACAGGGAGAAAACCGGATACCGGAGGCTCTGCCAACTTCGATTTGGACTCGGCGTCGTCGTAACGGAGATTAGATTAGGTGGTGTTCCCTTTGGACCTTCCCAGATGGAGAGATTGCTTTGTAAGCAGATCCTAGGACGGCGGATCGCCGTTGAAGAGTATCCAGCCCTTTCGTTTGAGAAATAAGAGGCCGCCAACTATTCAATTAAAGCTTCAAGTGCCGACGGTTTACTCGAAAACATTTCGACTAAGTGCTGTTGCTATCGGGACATTCTGTTCTTATGCCACCTGATTTAGGCTAATGGAGCCGATCCTTGAAGGCACGTGTGATTGCGAATCGTAACCTTGCATGATCAATTTTTTATCGTAGAAGAGGGTAGAAGTCGTATTTTTATGGTGTTGCACTTTGGACAGCGATTTTAGTGTTTTAAAATCATGTAAGCATTGTGCGTCACCGACTCTCCGGATTCTTGATATTTACAGGAGAGCATAGGGTGAGGAATATCGACAAGGGTATTAATTAATACCTTTGTCATCGAGGTACCTTTTGATATGGAAAAAAAATTTAAGAGAAGAGGTCTTGAACAACCAAAAAATCATTTATCAGCTTCACAATTTTTTTGAAGATTAAATTCATTTTATAATTACACAAAAGCGAGTTTTTATCAATAAATGAAGTTAACGTGAATTTTCTCTTACAATTTCGTACGATTCAGTTTTCTTATCTTACCTTGCTTTAATTATTAGTTCTTGCTTATACTGCAGACGCTTTCTTGCCCTCCATTTAACGAATAAAATAGTCGAGCACAAATCGTCGAACAATGGTCCGAGCGCTATCTCTCGTGGCGCTAATGAAATTGTCCTCTAATTCGTAGCCACTCCAGGAGCTCTGTTCACGAGCGAGAAGAAGGCTAACTAACATTGACATTCGACTATTCGATTTGGTTGTTACGAGGCGTACGAGGTGATTCCGATTAAGTACACTCCAATGTGAATTGCGTGCACGTTCGAAAGCGTTTCGGATTCGAGAACCGTTCGTTCGTAGCAACAAGTACGATCGAATTTTACACACCATGGAAATTTTGACGAAATCATCTCGTTCAAACTATTCTATGTACTTCGGAAGTATCTGTGCACTTTTGATGTCATCAAATCGTATTTTGTTTGATTTTATGTGAAGTACTATGGCTTCATGATTTTATATGAACACCTATGACTTCATGATTTTATATGAACATCTATGACTTCATGATTTTATATGAACATCTATGACTTCATGATTTTATATGAACATCTATGACTTCATGATTTTATATGAACATCTATGACTTCATGATTTTATATGAACATCTATTATGAACATCTATGACTTCATTATATTCATTCTGTATGAGGTTATGTTATCCTGTATGACGATGTGTTAGTCACATGAAGGTGAATTAATTATATATTCATTCTGTATGAGGTTATGTTATCCTGTATGACGATGTGTTAGTCACATGAAGGTGAATTAATTATATATTCATTCTGTATGAGGTTATGTTATCCTGTATGACGATGTGTTAGTCACATGAAGGTGAATTAATTATATATTCATTCTGTATGAGGTTATGTTATCCTGTATGAAGACGTGTTAGTCATATATTCATCCTGTATGAGGTTATGTTATCCTCAATGGACATATGATAATCGTATATTCATCTTGTATGAGGTTATGTTACCCTGTATGGAGATGTGTTAATTGTATGTTCATCCTGTATGAACATATGTTATTCTGTATGAAGATGTGTTAATTGTATATTCATCTTGTATGAAGTTATGTTACCTCTTATATTGTAAGCATCTCTTCTATGCAGTTGTATTAGCAATATATTCACCCCATATGAATTAGGTTATGTGTACATGCATAGTAGCTGAAGTGTTACCTCATAGATTTATCTCAAATGAAGTTGTTACCCGTAAATTTATTTTGCATGAAATTTTATCAACTATATACACCCTGTATATGTATATGCGCCCTGTGATTTACCTTGAATGAAGTGATGACCTTGAATAAAATTATGCATACATTTACCCTGTATGAAGTTACCTATATATTCACCCTATGTAACCCTGTTTACTCAGCACTTGAAAATTCTATATAAAATCAGTTTCACATTGCACAATAAAAAAAGGAAGAAAATAACTCGTATGTTGCACGATCCTCAGGTAGCTTAAATGGTTTGATGAACGGTCGGTAACGAAAGAGGTTAAACAAAGCGTCGACAAACACGTAACAAGGAAAATCCAGCGGTATCGAGTCGCATGTTCTCGTTGCATTATCTCTTTTTAACAAAGATACAAACAACGACAGCCGTTTAAGCGATGTGCAAAGGTTGGGAAAGATAGTGGAACGTCAGTGCACGTCCGGTGGACGCCATTAGCATAGGGCTGAGCCGAAGAACTAGCGAGCAGGGTGTTCGTTAAAAAGTACGCTCGGTCACGCGACGTTCGCATCAGCCTGCTCGCTGGCAACGACGTTTGACGCGACGCGAAACACCATCGGATTTTGCAATTATTTATAACGAGGAAACTTTCGGGACAACCAACGGCCGGGAATCGGTTCGTTAATTGCGCGAGATAATTATCGTTAAACGCTGCGCGTGACGAAGGATGATTCTCCTGTCATCGCGGGCTTCTAATTCGCTGCTCGCCGAATTTGCGAACAGCGGGAGTCAACGACGATCGTGATACAACTTTTTACACGCTCTTTTGTGAAAACTCAATTTCCGGAATCTTTGCGATAGAACGGGAGCGATTACTTGGCGGTCATTTGACAAGCTTTATTTAACGAGTGTCATGTATCCTCAACTTTCATATATGATGATTATTTGTTGTATGTTACTTGTTATTTTATAGAACATGAAAATGAAATTCTGTGGTATAATTTACGAAATAATATAGATCAATTTATTATAGTAAATTTTGAGAAATATTATTTTAAGTATGATGAATGAATATTCAAAACACTGCAATCAAATATGTATTACTAAAATTAGTAACTAGAGGTACGTCAACTTCGAATAAGAACCAAATAGTTTATAATCGTAATTGTATTCTTAGGCAGACATAATCATAATTAGAACACTAAAATCTGCATTCACCTGTACATCCAAATTGGCTCTAATCTTAAAATTTGTATGCATTCGACCCAGATATGTATTTAAAGAAGACATAAATTGCGACGAGACTGGAACGATATTATTAGACAACGTATAAATTTTCGATAGCAATCTTTCGAAAAATCGAAATTAACCATCTTCATGAGAATTCTCTATTCACCACTTAAAATCACGCAGGAATAAATAATTGCTATCGGTCATAGATAGACACTGCTAATGTAATTTGCCTTGACGAATAACAACACTCGATAACTGATTGCAATTTAGATCACCTCATTAATGTGACACAAGCGTAATGGCATTAAATCTCACAATAACGACAGAACACCTTTGAACGGTGTCGAAGTTACGCTAAATTCGTTACTGGTATTACTGAATTAATTGCTGTCCGTGCTATTGTGGAACAACGAGTTAACTATTGATAGACTGCTTGAAAATGAATTGGAAATTTCGAGCTTTTAATTGCTTTTAATTGTGTCGATATACTTTTGGCAATATTGCTGATAGCGTGCTTGAGTGACGTTGATTGTTTCGATGTGTAGAGTGAATTTCTACATGTTAATTTACCATGCCTGGTAATTTCACGCGTTAGTTCGCCACGCGTTAATTCACCGTGGGTTGTATTTTTTACGCGTTGATTTCCCACGCGTCGTAATTTTCACGCGTTGTAATTTCCATGCGTTGTAATTTCCATGCATTGTAATTTCCATGCATAGAAATTCCCACGCATTGTAATTTCCACGCGTTAATTTCCCACGCATTGTAATTTCCACACGTTAATTTCTCACGCGTTGTAATTTCCACGCGTTAATTTCCACGCGTTGATTTCCTACGCGTCGTAATTTTCACGTGTTGTAATTTCCATGCGTAGAAATTCCCACGCATTGTAATTTCCACGCGTTAATTTCCCACGCATTGTAATTTCCACGCGTTAATTTTCCACGCATTGTAATTTTCACGCGTTAATATCTCACGCGTTGTAATTTCCACGCGTTAATTTCCCACGCGTCGTAATTTTCACGCGTTGTAATTTCCATGCATTGTAATTTCCATGCGTAGAAATTCCCACGCATTGTAATTTCCACGCGTTAATTTCCCACGCATTGTAATTTCCACGCGTTAATTTCTCACACGTTGTAATTTCCACGCGTTAATTTCTCACTCGTTGCAATTCTCACGTGTTAATTTCCTACGCATTAATTTCCCATGCGTTGATTTCCCACGCGTTAATTTTCCACGCGTTGCAATTCTCACGCGTTAATTTTCCACGCATTAATTTCCCACGCGTTGTATTATAATTCTCACGCATCAGATTTCTACGCGTTGCAATTCTCACGTGTTAGTTCGCCACGCGTTGCAACTCCCACGCGTTACAACCTCCACTTTAAAGCTCCATCACAACATATTGTACCCAAAACCCAACGTAATACAAAATATTTCAAATCCCAAAAATTGTCGACTCCAACAGTCTCCTCAGTGCCAATATAACGAGAATCTACTGTATATTCTTTTCAACCTACGACCCTTGTTCCGTAGTACGTTTTTGATTCTTATGTACTGCTGAGGTTATACTCTTGTTTCACCTCGACAAGAATTTCTACTTTAATTACTGTAGAATATGATGGATGGCTTAAAAGAAATTTAAGAAAGTAAAAATTTTATTAATTCTGTACATTACTCAAATGTGACTAGGTTCTAACACACAAAATACACGTCAATTCATAATTCCTCCGTTTTATTCAGTCAATCGTACCGTAAAAATACTACCTCACAGTTGCTACATATTTCCAAAGACCTCAGAAACCCCGGCTGTCGTCCAATTTTCAAATTAATAAACGTACAAGCAATACCTGCAATAATCAACATACCTACAATTTCATTAAACGTTCATTAGCATACACGCACGCGGAGCGGAAAATCAAAGTTCATCATTCCACTTCTGGAATCTGTGGAACTCGAAATACAGTCACGTAAGGAAGATGGCTTCATTGTCCAAATGTTTCGAGCAAAATGGCAGACAGGTTGAAACCAACTGAGACGAGGGACGATTAATAGTAATGGCCACCTTGGTTTCCGTCCTCGTCGCCATAGTCTTTGGAGTACGAGCTGTGGCTTTCGTAAGAACCATGGTCACCATCTCTGGTTGCATAGCCTTCGCTATGTGAGTAACTCGACGATTCAGGTCCATGATCCGTGTAGTGAGCACCTTCGCTATAGCTACTCTGATCACCATCATCGTGTTCGCTACTGTGTCCTTCGTGATCCCCTTCGTCGGCTGTGTAATGAGAATCCACGATTGTTCCTGCAAAAAGTTCATAACGAGTTTAATTAACTTAGTCGAAACTCTGTCCTTTGACTTTCGATATATTGCCGCGTTTAGGTTAAGTTATAGAGCACTGGAGATATTAGGGTTGTTTACCGATTAGAAAATTTTTACATTTTATGCAGAATTTTTTAGATTTTTAAGTTTCTGGTTTTCAACTTTTCGAATTTGTAAATTTTGTAATTTTTGAAGTTATCAATTTTTACGTGTACAAATTTTCATATTTCTAAGTTTCTACATTATGTAATTTTTGCATTTGCAAATTTTTAAGTTTTCAAATTTTTATATACTGAATTTATAAATCATCAAATTTCTGCGCTTTTAGATTAAAAATTTGCCGAATTCCTACGTTTTTTTTCTGTATTTAAATGTTTCAAAATTTTGACATATTTACATTTTCAAATTTTTAAGTTTCTGACTTTCTTCATTTCCAAATTTCTACATTTCCTAACAGAAGTTAGAAATTGTAGTTAAAAAGTGTAGAAACGTTTTCATCTTTTTTAGTGTATAAATAATTTTCATTTAAATCCTTGTCTTTCAAATTTCTTTTGAGTTTTTGCAAATTCTGTCACTCTTCCAATTTCTTTTAAATTCAGTCTTCCAATTGCTTTTAAGTTCTGTCAGTCCTCCAATTTATTTAAAATTCTGTCAGTCTCTGAAATTCTTTCAAATTTTTTCAGTCTTCCAAAACGGAAATATGAAAAGCCCCTAAATGCACCAAAAATAAAATGTCAGAGGATCGTTACAATCTACCGGAACAGCATCCTTCTATGAAATAATTAGTAAAATGGCCGTGCGCCTCGTTAAAATTAGCGACAAGCGACCACGTCAATGTGTTCAGTTAATATCATTATCCCGATGGTATAGTTTTATCGGCAATCGATAACAGAGCTGCGAACTTTGCGAAAGAGAAGTTGCGAGCGGCGTTCATTAAAGTATCCTGTGGGATTAATGGCGCGGATCTGCTTTGCGAACGATGTTTACCCGCCGATATTTACTGTTATTTTCTTCAAGAAACAACTTCGAGATTAACTCAAAATTAGTGTCTACCTTAAGCCACTGGGGGAACATTAATCAAACTTGTGACAAGGGGACCGGAAAAATTTCCTTGTTCATTGCTGTATCATCAAATTACGTTCAATCATTCGATTTTATCAAGCTATGATCGATTCATATTACTCGTCTATTAATCATAATTTACTGTATTAGTTTTTTATCTGTTTTATATAACACATATTCATATTATATATTTAGTACATATACATATTGTATATTCTTGAAAAATATGACTTTACTAAATTAGTATTGAAATGTATCTTATTAACTATGCTATTCTTAAGTTTGTTCTGTATAATTCAGCAAATAAAATAAAAATTTTAATCCTTAAAATAAATAAATAAAATTTTAGAGTGAAATAAAATTTTAATCCTCGAATGGACTTTACATATACTCTTTCCTAACAAAAAATTTTTAATTTCTCAGCAAGATACGTTTCGTAATGGAGTTTTACCTGCACCCTCGTGGTCGCCACCCTTGTTAGAACCAGAAGCTGAATCCTCGTTGTGGCCACTTTTCTTGCCATCCCGCGCCGTGCCGTAGGCGATGTGCTTCTCGAATGCGTATTTGTCGCCATCTTGCTTGTGGAAGGTGTCGAGGTTCTTGTATCCGTGATTGCCCTTGCTGTAGGTTGCCGTCAAGTAACCCTTTTCACCCTCGGCGTCGCTGCCGTACGTTTTGTAGTACCCACCCTCGTCCGATTTCCCTAAAACAAGCGTTGTTATTCGAGCTCGTTATCGTCCACGATACTGCCAACACTGACAACGCTACAGACACTTTGAACACCTACAGTTTATGGAATCTTTATCTCACGCTGTTTTACAAGTTTCTTAATTGTCTTTCGCGTTCAACTTAACGAGGCGAATTTTCAGTCGCGCTGCTAAACTTTCGAGATAAGTATGGCGGTGATTTTGTTGACGTTAACTCGCTCGTTAATAGCTTCATTTATATACGGTGGCCCGTTTCGAGCGATTTATATAATTGTGTTTTAAAGTTTGGATTTATTGAGGGAAAAAATAAGAATTAGAGTTTTAAGGGTTGAATTGAGATTTTTAAACTCGTGGGTTTATGTAGAATTTTTTTGTGGGAAATTTAATTTTTGAATGAAAATTAACCTGAATCTATTATTAACCTAATCGAGGCTATTACTAACCTATTAATATTAACTTAATCAAGTTTAGTTGTTTCTAAATTACAAATTTTAATAATTACACTTGCAAATTTTAATATTTTCAAAACTATGAATTTTAAAATCTCCAATTCTCAAAATTTACGACTTTTCAAATTTTTAAACTTCTGCCCTTTTTACCGCCCTTCAAATTCCCAAATTCTCAAACCCTAAGTTTCAAAATTCCCATACTCTTAAATTTAAAAATTTCTATATTCTGAAATCCCCAAATTTCTAAATTCCCTAATTCCCCGAATTCCCCAAATTACCCAAAATTCAGCAAATTTCTCAAATTTCCAAATTCCCCAAATTCTCAAATTCCTCAAATCACCAAAATTTCCTAAATTCCCCAAATTTCCCGAATTCCCCGAATTTCCTGAATTCCGTAAATTCCCCAAATTACCCAAAATTCAGCAAATTTCTCAAATTTCCAAATTCCCCAAATTCTCAAATTCCTCAAATCACCAAAATTTTCTAAATTCCCCAAATTTCCCGAATTCCCCGAATTCCCCGAATTTCCTGAATTCCGTAAATTCCCCAAATTACCCAAAATTCAGCAAATTTCTCAAATTTCCAAATTCCCCAAATTCTCAAATTCCTCAAATCACCAAAATTTCCTAAATTCCCCAAATTTCCCGAATTCCCCGAATTTCCTGAATTCCGTAAATTCCCCAAATTACCCAAAATTCAGCAAATTTCTCAAATTTCCAAATTCCCCAAATTCCCCAAATTCCCCAAATTCCCCAAATTCTCCAAATTCCCCAAATTCCTCAAATTTCCTAAATTCCCCAAAATTCTCAAATTCCCAAATACCCTAAATTCCCCAAATTCCTTAAATTCCCAAATTCCTAACTATCCACAATCTTTGCCTTTTAATATCGATTATCTCGGCTCCAGCGATCTCGAAAGTATTATTTTAATTACTTTTAACTGATACCAGGAACGAAACGTGTTTATTGTGATAGCGAAACAATCGACACCAGCTCCGCAGATATAAACTTTTGTTAACTTTAATGGAAGTTATCGAACCCATTTACGTGGTCCAGCACGTTAATTGACAGAAAAATATATACTACGTACCGCGTTGTTTCAAACGTCGAATTTATTGAAAATTTCCGTGAAACGTTTCCGAGTGGTTTGTACACGAATTGCAGAGCGTCGATGGTATTTTCAAGAACGAAACGTATTATTTGTTGAATTTCCTTCTATGTAAACATTTCAAATTTCATTCCCATAATTTTCACCGTTATTCGTTTATTTGTTCGACAGCCGGTTTTAAATAAACCGCCAAGTCAATCAATCGGTGACAAAGATTCGTTACCCGTGGCTGAATGTAATTGCGAATTTGAAAGTTTACAAAATTTCGAAGTCGATCGAACCGAGAATTTCGTTGTTAATCGAAACCGATTGAACTTAAACAACAGTTGTATCAGCAAATACCTGACAGCGGTAACCAAACAAACCTAAATACCTCCTTTGAGAACTCCAACAGTTTCAAACTCCGAATACATAAGTTTAACTAGAAGCAACTCAAAGCGTCAAATTCTCGCTGGTTTATGTACACAGTTAATTACTTGACCATTCGAAATAACTTTAGATTCATCTACGAAGCAAGAGGAATTATTTCCTTCGATAGATTTAATAATTTATTAGCTTCAGTATTATTCATTATAACTAATCATAGTTAACTAAATTCAATCAATTATTGTAATACCTTGTAATTAATTATTATCTGCAATCCGCTATTAAGCAATTTCAGATATTGAAAATTTCATGGCAATTAAATTTACATTTATATAAATTTTGCAAACTCTATTCAGTTAAATAGCAGAAAATTAACAATTTCATAATCATAAAAAATATTCTATCGATAGAAAAAAGATATCGATACAAAGATTTCATGTTTAGGATCATTTCATGGCAAAGTTTTTTGCAATTAAAAATAATTCCAAGCAAATTGCATTTCTTGACGAAGATCCTTTCATCCCTGACATTTTCCAGCAATTAATAACGCGAGCAGATAATACCAAATTTTTTAAGCAAAATATCAAGTGAGGGGTCAAGTATCGACAACATTTCAGCAGGAATTTATTCACAGCGTTACAAAATCACCTCTCGAAAGAACACAGGAGAGAAACGTACCAGATGCATTTTTCATATGCTTTTTAGAGGCTTGATCGTTCGCCGGTGAATTTCCTTGGCCCAGCAGGTCCTCGACTTCGGTGGCGAACGGCAATGGTTCATGGACGTCCCGACGAAGCGACGCGACGCTCGCTATATCGCCATCTTGCAGGCTCGGTGCTCCGACCGTACCGTAGACAATGCAAAAGACCACTATCAGTCCACGCCACATGTCGTCGATTGCTCACGATTCACCGATATCGATTGTTTGTTGATTAAGTTCGACGGTGGCTGCTTTATCCCGCTCCTCCCACTCGCTTCTTCCCGCTTCGAATTTTAGCGCTGGCAGAAGGGATACCTCCTTGCATTATAAATATTACGGATTTCGTAAGCTCACATTTTTTGGTTTTGATGTTATTTTGGGGTCCTCAATATTTATTGATGGTATGTTCTATTTTTAGATTTAGATATTTGGGAATATGGAACGTGTAGATATTTGGGGAGAGTGTTTTGGAATTTAGGAATTTTTGTATTTTAGAATTGGGAGATTTTGGGGCGTGGAATTTGGGGATCTGAGATTACAGAAATCTTGGAAGTTGAGGATTTAGTAGTTTGAAAATTTGAGAATTTGAAATTTGGAGACTTAAGAGTTAAAATTGAGGGTGTAGTTTTGGAAACTTAGGAACTTGACAACTTCAAAAATTGCAAGTTCAGTAATTGCAGAAGAAATTTGCAATAAATCAATTTGACAATTTTAGAATTTGCATATGTATAAATATAAAAATTTAGTAATTTAAAAGTTCATATACTTTCCAAGATTAAACCCAGTGTTTATTAACAGTATTAAAATTCGTATAATGTAATATTAACAGCACACAAAAACCGAAATAAGCTAATAAAAGCCAATAAAAATGCCGCAGAATCTCCAAAAGCAATAACGGTACTTTATTAAATAACAGTTGGTCCACCGCATCTATCAAACGAACCAATTTACTAAAAATCCCTGGGACATTAAATTTATACATTATTCCGCACAATTTGCGACGAATATGCAGCGAGAGCACCATTCTCACCGTAAATAATCTTCAAACGGTTCATCATACCGATTGCAAATCTATAACCGAACTTTATTAAAACGAAAACTCAAATTAAACAAAAAAACGAGCAAACTGTTTGCACGACCAGTGACACATATTTTACAAGCATCCTTCTGCATACGGTGATTTATAATCTCGTGCGGGTAAATTGAATGACAGGATGGATAATAAAAACACAGCTTGCCTTTCAAAACGTTATCATCAATGAATCAAAAAGCGAACCGTGAAATATTCGGTGATCGGTGAATCGGTACGAATCGAGCCGCGAGTGGTTTCACGCTTTCCATGATCACGGGAATAAAACGATATAGCGCGTTGTGCTGTCGAGATCGATCGCTGTACAATCGAGTGACATAACAGTATCGAGATCGTTGGCATCGCGAAAGCGTTCCTGTTTCGAAACGTTCTTACGCGAAATCGTTTCTCGCTCGCATTATCTCACGCCTGTTACGAGGACGTTTCAGTTATTCGATTGTTACACTGGGACAGTTAGATGCCGGACGATTGTTCGTCGAACGTTTTTGCCAAACAACTTGCCGGATCGTTGAGAATTATGCAAACGATAAGCGAGGCAAGAGACACGGTTACACGTCGCTTGCAATCGACCGTACAGTTTCATTCAACACACTATCGCTTTTATCTGCATTTTCTTTTGTGTTTGATGACGAGTATTTGTAATTTTTCACTTTACTTCATTTTCACTTTTTTTGTGAAATATATGCATTCTCTCGTGAAACTATAAATTACACCATTTTAGAAATTGTTAGGTTAGTGTGTATACTACCGATCATGTTTCATTATCATTTATTAAATTTCATTAAGAAAGGTGGATGAAGTTGATCAAAGCTGTGTAACATTGAATGTGAAAGTGCTTCATCTACTGTTTGGGTGATTGTTCTTATATAAAGATGTTCTTTAAGAAATACAATACTGAATTTAAGAATATGATTTGTTAAAATGTATAAGCGATTGCAATAATTTGATAAAATTAAGAAACTTGCAATTGACGATGAAGTAGTAAGAAAACATCAAGTTCTTTCATCGTGTTTTTATATGTCCATATTTTTTTAATGACCCTGTACAAAACAGCTGGTACCACATTTAAGAACTACATCCGAAGAATCATCAAATTCGATGAAAATTTATTCGACAAGTTTCTCAATTTCTTTAACACAATGTACCATCCTAAGTAAATCATAGGTGCATCCAAGCTTTTGAATGGTCCTGTACAAAACAGCTGGTACCACATTCAAAAACTATATCTAATGGCGCGTCAAATTCCAGTGAAAATTTGTACAACAATTAATAACATCCTACCCCTTTAATCTCCTAATCTTGAACACAATCCATCACCACAAATAAATTGTAAGAACGTCGTAGTTTTTGAACGGTCTTGTACAAAACTGACTCTATTAAAAACTGGTATATTTAAAAACTGTCTAATAATACGTACGACATAAAAACCTTCTAAAAAATTTGTCTCCATATAATTATAAACAGACGCCCCAGTTTTTGGAATGGGCCTGTACAAAAGTGGTGGTAGCGCGTTTGCATCGATTTTGCTAGCACGTTGAAATAGCACCGTTTACTTAGACACGCCGAATGACACGGATATGGTTGGCGGTACGACACGGATATTACATAAAACGGTTTCTAAAATATGTACTTCGAGGCGCAGTTACGTCGAATTTTCTATCCGAAGGCAGCGTTCCCGGACGAAATAAAACGTCGTTGCCAGAGGAGACGGCTCTACGAAACGATGGAATTTCAGGCAGTCGACTGAAACCGCCAGAGCGATTCTTCTTCTCTATTTAAAACGAGCCGAGGCGTCGACATAATCGAGCTTAAAGCCGGGCTCGCCGCAAGCCGACGTTAAGCGGGCCGGATACTCGCTGCGCTAGCTACTTTTCATCCAGATAATCCGGTAATTTGAAAATCCAGGATGGAATGTAACTCACTGAAACTGCTAGACGTCTTGTCTGTGCCGACGAGATCGTTTTTTTCGATTATGCCCGAAAAGCGTTCAATCGGAATCAAACGGGAATTCATCTAATTAACGCGTCGCCACGTTGCAGATCCGTTAAGGGCGTTTTTCGATAATACGACCGAGGGACATTTGAGAGACTAAGGGTGTTCGAAAGCTTGGATAATCAGGGATTTAGAAAATTCGAGGAATTTTCATGGCAAACGGGGCTGAAGTAGAAATGGAGGTTTAAGAATTTTTTCACATTCTATCCTTAATTTCTGAATAACGGTATAAATGTTTGAAAATATAAAAATTGTTTAACACTAAACCTACCGACATATAATGCGTACTTAATTTGAAATTAAAAATGAAATTAAAAAATGAATAAACAAACGACGAAACATAAATTAGTACACACATCTATTCTTCATCTTGATGAAAATCAATGCTGATTTTAAGGAATGTACTTTAACAAAGTACCTTATAATAAGAAACTTGTGGAGCGGTCATTTGACCGGTTTGGTAGTTTTAGTTAATGTATCTACGTATTTTAAACTCGAAACGTTCATAAATAGGAGTAAATTCAGTGAGTAAAAAGAAGTTGTGAAATAAAGCTTGATACGAATGTCATACAGAAAATAAAAAGTTCTTAGATGCATGACATCCTGCAGTATCATAAGCCGATATAAAATCGTGGAATATTCATATTTGAAACGCGTAATCGTTCAAAGCAGACGTCCTAATGTATTCGGCGCCGCGGTATCGACGTTACACGTGTCGTTTCTCGTACAGATATGTGACATGATTCGCGACGTCGTGTCAGGGTTGCCAATTCACCGTTGAAAAATATATCCGCAGGGTTCTGTCACGTCATTTCGAAGAATATCCGCCATTTTCCTATACATAATGCGTGCAGATCTAAGCTCTATAGCCAACGTCCATAATCACGCCATAGTTCTACCGCAAGCTTTTTGCTTGCTTTACAAAAATTGGTATTCGAATCGGTTCCCGAGATAAATCACGAGAAATGTTTATCTTTAATTTCATTACACCGGAACGAGGTCGGTGGTTTTTAATAAAGAACAGCGTTGCTCGTGGAAATTACAACGATTTGTTTTCGCTGGAACACGTTCTATGGAATGTATCGCAACACTTTTATTTCGTTCGTACGCAATGCTGTTTAACGTTCTCGATTTTTATCTGACCGTTCTTTTTTAAATGCCTGTAATACGTTGCACGATATCAAAATGTTGTTCCGCGTTATTAATGCGGTTTTTATATTACGTTGAATTTCCCCGCTTTTTAATTACATCGTGAAATTAATTTCGTGTATCGTACATAAATGCCTAGATAATGTTTAACGAAAGCGATCGCTGCAGATGAATCTTTTGGCGAGGTTGCAACGGCAAAGCGCAGAAAAGTGAAGAGTTCCCGGCAAAAAACCCGCTGATTAATGACTGTCCTTTAAAGGGCTTTCTCGAGGATAAACTTCGATAAAACCTCGCTGCAAAAGAACGTGGTTCATTTTGCCATGCTCGCCAATACGTCGATGATGTCGATGGTCGATGAAAAAGCAGCGTTATTTATATTTGTCTATCGAACGCTTTTCTTTCCTTCCGTTCAGATTGATGAACACTCGTTAAAGAAGATTATCGTCCTGAAAATCCTTTTATTTCCTCCATTTCTTGCTGTTTCGACCGTGTTCCACGTTTTTCTTCGCTCGTGTAATACACCATTTCATTCTACCACCATTTGCGCCGAATAATTAGTGAGAAGTAGTGAAATTTGAAATATTAGGAGGAAATTGTGGAGATGGGTGAAGATTTTATGTTGTTATTTAGAATAGTGTAGTGGTGATATGTATAGAGGTGTGATATAGGGTGCAGTGTATGGTGTGATTATAACACGTCGTGATTGCAATGTGTGGCGAATTAACGCGTGGTGATACAATGCGTGGTAATTGCAATGCATAGCAATTACAATGTGTAGGGAATTAACGCGTGGTGAACCAACATGTAACAACTATAACATATAGCGAATTAACACGTGGTAGACCAACATATAGTAATTATAACATATGGCGAATTAACGCGTGGTGATACAATGCGTGGTAATTACAATGCATAGCAATTACAATGTGTAGGGAATTAATGCGTGGTGGACCAATAT